CAATGTTGGAGGAGAAATATATGTTCGCCTTCCTCAGCTGAGCTCAGATGAGTTCAAATACGAATTCGGGTACAGAAACCAACGAAAATTCCCAGAATTTTCCCGAAATTTTCATATTGTCCTATATTTTCACAGTTCCTATACCAAAATACCGGTTCATAAGAGCACTACGAAACCTTTACATTGCGCGTACTACTACAAGTAGGTTACATATGACTTCGGATAGAAGTGTACAGAAACCTGGGAAAATTCTCAAAATTTCCCCATACTTTTCACAAATTTTCCTATTATTTCACACTTTCCACACAAAGAAATTCACATTGCGCTTCCTCTCCCTCCCCTTCCTCCTCTACTACAGTCTCCATGCGTCAGTCGGCATAGTAGCATCTGCTGGTTGAGAGAACATCAGCGCGATGCCGTTTTTACTATTCTGCTCCTCTGCTAGCAATCCCGATACTTCAAAGTTGGGTTTCTGAAACCAAAGTCCTCAACAACAACATATACAACAACAACAACATATACAACAACATATACAAAAACAACAACAACAACAACAACAACATATACAACATATACAACAACAACATATACAACAACAACATATACAACAACAACATATACAACAACAACCACAACATATACAACAACAACAACAACATATACAACAAGAACTACGACAACAACAAGAAGTCGCACAAATACTTCTGAGTTTTTCACATGAAATATAGCCCTTCGTCCGCTGTATTTCACCAAGTGTGTTTCAATTTACTCCATTACGCGTCCATCACTCTGGACTCCAATCCTACTAGTTCCGAACACTAGCATCGAAATCTCATATCTCATAATCCTATATCTCAAAATCTCCTCTTCAATTGACACGTGCATTACCATAATTCTCACAATCTACTTATTAAATTTCGTCTAAGCCTGCTACCATCAACCCTTTCCCCACCCCACCACTACTACATACACTTTTCACCGCTACTTTCATATTTCATATATCAATATTGCTACAAATTTCCGCATATTTTTAACTTTTTCAAATACCCAACAAAATCATGTCGCAAACGCCTTTAAACAAGCAACGGAAAAAAACGTAAAATCATCCACATTTTCTTTCAACACCATTTTTTCCATCACTACTACACGTAAAAATAATTTCCCAAATTATTACCTCTTTTTCTATCTTCTTTTCCTCCGAGTTTTCCTCAGATTTTTCCCTTTTCGCGCCTCTCGGAAACTCCCTTTTCCTTTCCTCGTCCTCGCTTTTCAACTCTCTTCGTCGCCCAGACCGCTCACGATGGTGACGATAATACTAAACATACAAATTCATCGCAGTTTCAAAACCCCTTTTATGTGAAGTGAAAAACGCGATATTCGCGGTGATATACAATAGCCCTGAAATATATTTTTCACTAGGATGAAACTCCTAAGAATTCCTACTATCATCACAAAACACTTTTTCCAAAACTCATTATTCGACCAAAATCACCGTTAACATAATCGAACGCGCGCTTTATTGTGAACTAAGTAATAGTTCATCAGCGTTGGAGAAGCAGTAAATCTTCGCCCTCCTCAGCTGAGCTTAACAAGCGCAAATTCTGGTAGAATTGTGCACAACCTCTCCCTTGATATTCATACGTACAGCAGTAGCCAGCGAAGAAAGTTCTCCCTATAAAATCGCTTGTTTCAGCTGAGCTATCGAGCGCTGACCTACTACTCTAACCTTACTAATTGTAAATTATAAATTACAATCAGACTAATCAAGTGTGTGTCGTGTTATCAACTCAATAAATGGAATCACCCACCAACACTCAACAGTAGCCCCCCCAACCAGTAGCTACCCCTATACTACATCTCGATCATCATCATCCTCATGTTGTCGTTGTCTATCATACTCCTTACTACTACTACTGCGCTGATGATGATGATGATGCCTTTCCCTCGATCGGCTACGAGATGAGGCTCTTCCCATACAAAACAACAACAACAACAACTACTACTGTACCACCGTTTTTACTCGGGTTAAAACGTCCCAATAATTCAATTTCCTTATTCCACCAAATCCCATGCAATTCCCAAATACAACCCATAAGTAGATTTGAATCTTTAAAATCGTCGTATTAACTTCCAGCCTCCAAATCTGCAATCGGATTCGCGTGAATGATAACTTTTTTAATCACCTGATAGTAAGATCATCATCACCTCTTCTCAGCTTTTCACACCACATAATACAACTCCCTACTTATTTTCAAATCATCATTTTATACTATCACACTCACTGCACAATTACACGAAGTTCAACATACACGTGTAAAAAATTGCAAAGAAATTTCTTCCAAAAATCGTTTGTGGTCCAAAAATCGAAATTTCGAATATACGCATTCCTTTATCGGGTGTAATACTTCATCGATAATACTACAGCACGTGTGAATTTGATATGCAAATGTGTATTTCTTTGGAGGACGAATCATAGTGAACGGTTCCAAACGGGTACTTTCATCACAACACATGTTCATAGCCATTATATATGCGATATAGTTTCACATTGATTCTCATCAACCTCAAGAAAATAAACACACATTTGCATACCAAATTCGCAGGTTAGTGAGTAATATAAAATATTCAATATTAATAGTTGGACTCCGACAGTGTGGAGGGTGGGTGAGAAAATCTGCATATGCTCAACAATTACAAAACTATACGAGTAAATTTTGGGGAAATTCTGTACATTTATATCACTAATTCTGAACGAATCAACATATATTTCTCCAACACTGCACTTGGCATAAACTGCGTCTCCTCTACGTCTATCTTCATGTGTCTCCTCCCAGTACTACAATATCCTCAACAGGTCTGTGCTTCTTCCCCACAGGAACCTGCTCAATCTTCATCAGCGTATCCATACCATCAATGAGCCTTCCAAACGCGGTATACCTGCCGAATTAACGCTAATCATAATAGCTCTCCAAAATTCTCGTAAAATTCGGAATACTTCAGAAAAAAATAGTAGAAGTAATGGAAATAAAACTTCAGAATTTCTGCGTAAAATACTGAATTTTCCCAAATTACTCCAAGAAAAAATATCTCTCAAAAAAGTTCTCATAAATGCTCTTTTGAAACCTGATAACTCTCCGTGGATCCACAATAATATTTCTGCACGCATGCGCAGAAATTTTCCACAAATTTTGTTCATTTTTCGGCGTGAAAGTAAAATTGTGGGAAAACATAATGCAAATCTATGCTCGAAAATTCCTCCAAAAAACTATATTTTTCAAAAGCCAATTCGAAAATTTAACATTCCGCGCGAACTTATATATAAATACTCAGTTCCCGCGTAAAAATTTCCTATCTATGCATTGACCTAAGAAAAAAATTTGCTCCTATTTATCTCCTATAAAATTTTCCGCAAATTTTTTTTCACCTGTAACACAAATTCTCAGAATTTTCCCACAACACCATAAATTTCCCAACTCCCATTATTACACTCCATTTAAATGCGGTTGCCTCCCAAAAGTTATGAAGAACTGCGATCCTATACTGTCTGGTCCTAAACACCAATCCATCAACTCCGTCACTCGCCACAAAACTATCCCACCATTGTTTGCGAAACTCAATATACCGCGGCGATCGTGCTTAACGCTCGACACGAATTCATCAGCTTGTTTTCCGCCTTCCCAATTTTCCCCACCTTTTCCCGTCCCAGTAGGATCTCCACCCTGAGAACAA